AAATATTCATTTTTCTTAATCGGTATTCCCAACCCTGCTAAATTTTCCGGATGGGGGGAGTATATACTAACTATACAAACAACCAATTTAGGTGTAGTAAGCCCTAGAATTGGTTTCACCACCAGAATTTTGGCTAATAGCCTCAAATTCAATGATTAAATATTTAATATCCATGATGTATTTGAAAATATAATTTTATTTTATTTTGATTCATCATAGATGCTATCATTTCAATTCTATTAATGCCGTGATTCCTAATAATTTTATTTTATTTGTGATATGACATGTATAGTAATACAATGTACATTTCAAATACTTCTATAAATGTAATATGATCCAAATAATGGCATGAATTGGAAATAATATATTTCAAGTTCAATGATTAAATATTTAAAATCCGATCCATTATGTATTTGAAAATACGTTTCTATTGTATTTCGATTCCTCCAAGGATGCCGTCACTTCAATTCTATCTATGTTCCAATTTGTAATTAATCTCTTGAGAGAAGCTGTACGTAGCTGAATTGGAGAAAGAAAGTTGTGAAAATAATAATCCTCAAAATAAAATATAGGCAACATATAATATATTCGATACACTCAAATCTAAACAATAAGATCAAATCAAAATGTATATCTATTAAATCTAAAACTCAACAAAAGGTGAACAGATCTGTGTGAGGAAAAGCTTTGCTAATCTTGTTCCATTTCTGTTCATGAAACCAGAACCCCTAATTAAGGTCGTCGCTAACGCCGCTGAGAGAATTCTCCTTTCTAGTTTTTATGGCACATACAATGGTGAACGTTGAGAAATTTGCTCTCTATGAGGACCTCAAGCAAGCCGCCGTAGCATCCAATGTTCTGACAACCAGAAAATTGGCAGAACATGTGAAGCGTGTTCGAGAAGATGAGGGTATGGAAGAGGGGTACAAGAAAACCTTTTATATATTCCATGTTACGAAAAAAGGGTTTCGATTTGATGACAAGGGAAGAGGTGGATCCAGTAGCAAGAAAGGATTTGGTGGAGACTGCAGTCACAAAGCTGCTAGTATTTGGATTCTGATGATTGTTTTCAGGGGACCCCATCCTGAGCAGCTGACGAATCAGGAGGAACATAGCCATGACTCTATGTGTAATGCTCATTGTTCCGGGAAAGGTATATAAGGGACATGTGGTGAATCACAACACTGAGAAAGAAAGGGAACTTAGCGTCGCAAGGAGCCAGAGAGAAACTTCGTATTGCAAGTGAACTTGGTTGAATGTACATACCAGGGTGGAGGTCATTTTATAGGTCAAGCACTCCATCGATAGTATTCTAGAACATCCGAGAATGTACAACTAGTTATGCATTATGTACAACTATCTATAATGGTCCATGGTCTTCCGAAGTATATTTCGAAGTATATTCCGCCATGTTCTAGAAGGATTTCCGAATATTCTTTAGTCCAGAGTCTTCTTCAAAATTTGAGTAAATTCACCCGTATGCCCCCGGAAGGTTCTAGATAACCATAAACTGGCATCTCGGACCGCCTCTCTCCATGACAACCAGTGCGTAGCTAGTGGGCCAAGAGCCTAAAGGTGTTGGGCCCTCCCTAATTATTTTAGTTTTGTATGTTTATTATATAGTATTTGGATAATTTTTAAAATTTAATGTGTTTTTTTGTGGGTTTTAGGTTTTTGGTTTGGATTTTTTAATAGTAAAAAGTTGAATTTGAATATTTGTTTGATATGATATAAATAGAGGTTAGATGTGATATTTTGAATGTAAAATAAATTTGTAGTATAAAATAAAAAATAAAAAATAAAAATAATTATTTGATATGATATTTTTTGAGGAAAAAAGAATCTAAATAGTAAAAACCTTGTTGTAAAAATCCATAAAAGAATACAACCTAAGTAATTGGCTACCTCTATAGATTTAATAAAAAATATTATTATTGCACATATTTAATTTAAACACTAAAAAAAATTGGTTCAAACACCCCCAAATATTTAAAAATATCTGAAAAAATAAATGGGGGAGATCTTGTTCTGATGCTGAATTGTGGATAATAATTAAAAAGTTGTTTACTCTAACTATATTAATAATACAATATAATTATATAAATTTATATAAAGACTTTTTAAAGCATTCAACACCTATGCTGAATTATTTTTCAGCATATGATCCATGGCCACAAAATAAAATGAGAGAAAACCAAGTAAAAAATTGTTTGTAATTTTTTAAAATATTTAATTATATTATATAATTTTATATTTATTATATATATTATATAAAAAAATTTTCAGCCTCACCAAATGTTTTTTTTTTTTTTTTTTTTTCTGGCTCCACCACCCATCATTGATGACAACTCAGCTTCAGCTAACCAACCATTTGACTTGAATGCTCCAAAGAAGTGGTGTCTCTGATAAGAAGCATGGTGGAGAGTGATTCGTTATCTACTATTTAACTCACCTATCGTTGTTTAAAAATATCTTAAATATAATTATTCATCTCCTAACATCAATTCAGAGATGTGAAAGCACATTATCAACAATTGTAACATATTTAGTTTACATTGCAATGGCAAGAATCCATTATTACTATCTGTGAATTGCATGACTTGTAAAATATGATATTGTTATCTTCTCTATTACTGTACTGTCCATAAGCGTTGATTTCTACTTGTTTTGATAGTCTTTTAAATCTTATGTGATACTATATACGATGGCGCTTACTAATTTAATATGAATTATTGGATTAGCTCCGTGAGCATCTAATGGATGAGATATAACAAAGATAATATAGGCAAGTTAACATTATTTTTGTGTACTACTAATGTGTTGATACGATATTGCTATTGATGTATGTGTTTAGTTGATGTTTTTAGAGTGACGGACAAACATAATATGTAATGTGTTATAAAAAATATTAATATCATGTTGATTGATATATACTAATGTATTGGCCGGATGTTGTCAAAATATTTTATCAAATAAATTATATGATTGACTACTTACAATATCAAAGCGACATCTGCATACACTTATATATATGTTGACTTGATGTTTTTATAGTTATAACCAAACAAAATATATAATGCCGGTAATTAAAATATTAAATTGTATTGAGCGATGCATATAGCTAGCCTTATATTTTTAAGGTGAAGACGATTGGAATCCCAACGATGTAATTCACTTTCCGAATGTACTAAATTCATACATTCACTCATTGCATTGCATAGATGTAGTGAATTCATGCTCATTCATTGCTTTTTTTTACTTGAATAGTTCGATAATTTATTTTAAATTTTTATGCATTCAAATATAATTTTGAACAAAATTTTATTTTTGTATTTTTTGTTATGCATATATGTCGTAACAAAAGTTCTTTGAAACAATTTTACTTTTGTTTTGTATCTTTTGTTACTGACATATCTCGTAACAAAAATTTCTCTGATAGATTTATACGTTTGTTCCGCATTTTTTGTTACGGATATATGTCGCAAAAATATGATTTGATTCTTTTATTACATACAAAAAATGTAACAAATACAATTAGCAAAGGCTTATTTAAGACATTGACGTCATTTATTTGTTACAATTTTTTCCTTAACAAAGACTTTTTGTACTACAATTTTTCGTAGCTGTTAAAATCTGTAACAAAGTTGACACAAAAGGTTATTTTGCACAAAAATTAGGTTTTTGTTACGAATTTTTTGCCGCTAAAAAAAGTCAATTTTTTGGTAGTGAATTAAAGAAGCCTAAATGAAAATTATTGGTATAAATATGTATTATTATGATATTTTGAATGTAAAATTAAATTTTAGTGTAATATCAAATTGATGTTTTATTTGATATTTTTTAAGGAAAAAAAAATTAAAATAGTAAAACCAAGTACAAAATCTTAAGTAAAGACAATCGTCCACATACCTCTTGAATTGAAGAACTCATTTCAATAACTTAGAATTAATATAAAAAAAATTAAAAAAAAATCCCAATAAAAAAAATTTTAGATGGAAGACTAAAATGATGAGTTGATATGATGATATATATTATACATAAGGAGAATTGTAGTCTAAACTGTATGGATTTTTATTTTTATTTTTTTCCTTTCTACGTGTGTTTATATTTAATAAATAAATTTATTTTTATAAAAATCAAAGCAACTAAAATAGATATGACAAATGTTAAAATTAAATGATGAGTTTATAATAAATTGTTTGTTGCATTATGAAATAGTTGTCTTAATTTTAAAATTCAGAAGTTTTTATGTAGTCAAGCTCTTTTTCTATATATATATATATTATAGATTTTTAAAATATTACAATGCTTAATTCTTAAAATTTAATATTCATTGTAAAGAGCTTTTTAAGAATTAAGCATTGTAATAATTTATAGATTTTTAAGCTGAATTGAATCCACTACAAATACTCATTATTTGTTGTAAAAAGTTATTTGTGATGGTTTTGTTGCAGAGTTTGGTCTATACGTTTACTCGAGTAACAAAAAAATTTTTATTGTCACAAATGTTGTAACGAAAGACGAGTTGTCAACGCCTGTGAGAGGACTTTTTGTTACAATTTTGTTTACGCGAAAAAAGTCGAATTCTTTTTGAACAATTCATTATCGTAACAAATAATGTGGTATAAACATTTTCTGACCGTTACAATATATTTTTACATTAGTTTTTGTTACAGTTATTTGTTCGTAACAAAAATTAAAAGTCTGTTTGTAACGAAGCGTAGTCGTAACAAATAATATGTTGCAAATATTTTCTGACATTAAAAAATATTTTTGAACGATTTCTATAACAAATTATTTTTACAAAAAAATTGATCATATGTTTATTAAAATAACAATTTGTTACGACCTGAATAGACAATTGTAACGATTTTTATAACAAACATATTTTTTGTGACAATAAATATACAACATTTTTCTTCCCATATTCTCTACTAAATCTATCATAAAATCTATAATCTAAGGAATTCATAGAAAATTACACTTACAATTGTGCCAATTATGAACAGAAGGACTACCTAAAAGGCAAACAAGCCAAAATTATATACTTATTACGCAAAATGATCTAATAAGCGATGTCAAAATTATACGCAAGCCTTGTTCAAAATATAGTAAAAACAAGTAAGGCATCGATCAATCTAGGTTCAACACATAAACATGGGGTGTGGATGCTCATGAAACGTCAAAAGTACGGCGGAGGAACTCATGTGTGGCACTGCAATGAATAAGTAGGTTATATAAGTATTTAATTTCGAAATCAATAAATTACTAGAAAAAATAAACCTTCAAATATCTATTATATACATCTTTGTATGTGGGATCGACATTGATTACCTCACCGAGGGTACGTGCTCAACTAATTGTTGGCAGAATAATTGAGGTCTCCGGAACCGTGATAGCCCTTACAAAGACTTTAACTATTGCTAGCATATCACCTACATATATAGATAAAGAAAAAAAAACCATATAATTATGAATGTAATATATCATTTCAAGAAACAATTTACAAATAAAAAATAATAATAAGAGAAGCCATCCATAGTATTTCACACATAACAAAGATGGTCGCATATGTTTCACAAATACCGGCAAAGGAGAAGAATTTTTCTTGACTTAACAAGTACTACAGATCAATAATACGAAAGCATATACAACTACATGCTATACCAAAAAAATTTCATCAAATTTATATACATATCATCTACTAAATATGCCTATAATTAACAATGTAATAAAACCGGAATAGAACATTGCATTGTCCAACGGCAATGATCAACCCTAAGCCATTTCAAGAATAAATTATCTAGTAATAATTCAAGACTCACCTAAGTTTCAACTCTTTAGAATAATAATATTGAAATCACGACATATTTATGGAATATGCACAATTTAAATGAACATGCATTCACGAACACGTGCAATATCAATGACACCCAAGATCCACCAACAATTGTTTAGGAAACGCTATACAAAAACTAAAAGCACGACATATAGGATGCACCGAATAACACTGGAGTACGTGTAACATCCAAACACAACCTACTTAACGAAAAAATTCTCAATGAAACAAATTACGAACACAAAAATAAAACAATCCTAGAAAGAAAGCATAAATCAAACACACGAAACAAATGGTAACAAAATAAATTTAAAATGCAGTAGATAAATATGTGTCAAGCCCCACAATTATACAAACAAGTATGCATTAAATATTCTGCAAACACTTAAGAATTCATACCTATAGTGTATTACTTTACAATAACAAACCTGGAAGAGGGGCGGTCAACATGATCCCCTTAGCAAAATTTTCTTCTAAGCCACAGGACATCAAAAGAACACGAGACCTGACCTACATCAAGTGTTTGCAACTATCAAGAACATTCTTATAGGCTAACAAAGTATAAGCAAAGTATAATGCTAATTTGCTGAATTAAGATATTATGTTAAAACCCCATTCTATATTTATTAACTAACCGTCAGTGGTTCGTGGACCTCGGTACCCAGTGTCTCTAACCCTCTTTGGGTGTGGCTAGTTCCCTACAACGCATGGAGCAATTATTTTGAGTCACTAGTGGATTGGCAGGATACATTCCATATAATTTACATAGAGATATTGTTGCTTCCTTACCGGGGCTCATATTGATGCTCCACCGGGAGAGTTCATCCAAGTAGACAACTCGGCATGCATGTTTCTAACCTTAACCATGACAGCCCTCAACTTAACAAGGCACTTCTTACATTCCTCTGCAAACTTTTGTACATCTTAACTATCGGTAATGTCCGTTGATTGACTGTGTGGGTGGGCAGAGCTAGCTTCACTATTAATACAGCTCAACTACTATAATTGTCAGATTGTCATGAACTTCAATTAACTCTTTTAAAGACAATAAATGAGGAATGCATTCCTTATAGAAGTTATTAGTAAAAAGCAGACAATTAGTTCAAAATTTTGAAAATCATTCAACTAAAATTATTTTTAATCAAATCTCAAGGTTTTCCACCATTCTATCACATCTAGACATTCTAAAATTGTAACAAAAAGGTTGTGAAAATTAATCTAAGAAATGAATATTATTTTAGCATAGAGCTGCACTTCATGCTCACAATATATATAAATAAATAAAGAGCTTAAAATTTTCAAAAACACAAAAGATTTGAATCCATCCATACATAAAATCTAACATCTTAGAAATCATCTTTTCAAATCCACACACAAATTTAAACTTTAATTAATGCCCAAGACATGAAAGCTAACATCTCATAATTCAAAAACCACAATAATAACTTTGAAATAATTCACAAAAAATACAACATTGATTCCGTTATAGCCTTATTGGTATGAGAATAGCATCAACTTCAAGGATACTTATATATTTTGTTTGTAGGGTCTTTTCTTTTTCGGTAAGAAATGATGAATAACCAATTGTGAGTTTATAACCCTAGATAAATACTCACCTCATCACTCCATGCCTGAGATTTTAAGTTCTGAACAATCCGAGCACCAAATTTCCCTTTGTGTTGCGAAATTCCTAAGAGTTAAGATGATCACCCTAACAACGTAACCTAACCTGCAGGTCGACATTCAGATTATTCAGTTCCCAAGGGGGGAAGATTAGTAATATGTATAGTCCACATTCAACATACAGCGGATATCAAAAGTTTATCAAAATTGGGAGATTTTCTTAATTAAACTGAACCATGAAAGAAACAGCCGTAACACTATAAGTGTTGGGTAGGATAGATAGTAGAAGGATTTGCAGAAGAAAAAAACACGTGTTGCTCACTATGCTTTGATGATAAGTTCTTTTTTTTTCCATCATCAAGTAAGGAGTACATCCATATGTAGGACTCTTGATCTACAAGTCGTTACTTCAGTATGTTATTATTATTCGCGGTTACTAGAACTTAAAGGGATAGCATATTAATTACTTTGAAAATTACAAATTATTGTTTCAACAATAAGTTCACCGTAATAAACACTATATCTTATTTTTTCCTTTGTGGAACCTTTAACCACTTCAATCAACGGCGACAAGCACCTACAAGTAGCCAAGTAATGATCGAACAATCTTACTACAGTAGAATAGTAACATGAAATATGTTGTGTTTTATATATATAATCTGTCAAACAACCAAGAAACATCAACAACAAATTGAAATAAAAATAATATACTTTCAAAAAATCAATTTAAGAACACAATCAATCTATCCAAAAATCAGGATTCAAGATTAGACAAGGCAGAACATGAACTTCCCTCTTTCGACAGTCTTCCGGCGAACACACCCAGTCACGCGCCGCAGCTCCGGCAACTTCGTCTTCCGGCGATTTCCAAGCGAATCGACAAAGGATAGGGGAAACTATTCTTACGGCTCAGTCTACAACCTAATGACTCACATTTAGGGACTAACCCAACTGCCTCCAAACAAAACCCCAAACCAACGGACTCGATCGACCCTAAACTCTAATCGACCGATTTCCCCCAAAACCTCACAAAAACACCCAGATGAACAACTTACCGAAGGAATCGAACAAGAACAACAACGGGTCGGGTCGGGTCGGGTTGAAGGGTTTTGGATTGCTGGTTGGGCTTGGTATTGGGTTGGGCCAAAATATATCTAACATTCTCCACCTTTTTGGCCAAGTCATTTACCGATGGTTGCTCCCGTAGGGATGCATCACAGCCTAGAGACCCTTTTCGCGTAATCAAGTCGCATGGAAATTGCCCGAGAAGATTCACCGATATACAATGAACCTACACTCACAACAAACGTTAAGTAAACCCTGCACTCACAAGCAATCATATGTCCTGCAGAAACTAATAGCTCATTCCAAAAAAAGGACAACATAATGCAAAAAAAGATGCAACATGCGAACTCCACCTTAGAACTAATCACAAAGTATATACATGACATGACACCACAAAGAAAAACATAGCGTACGCTTATACTAAAGGATCCTATCACATGCTTGAAACACATAGAAACAAAAAGACAAACATATATCACACCAATAAATTCGACGTCGATCACAAAGTAGCTAAGAATATAGGTTTGCTCACATTATCACAAAGAGAAACAAAATATATCACAAAGCCTAAACAAACACTATCACAAAGTTTAGCAAACTAACATGCAGTTAGACATACACTCAGATATTCCCGGGAAATTAACAACCTAGATTGTTCACTTAGTCTAGAACACACAACTCACAAAGCACAAAGACAACCAACAAAAACAAATCACAACAGCAAGAGTTGATTTACTCCACCTAGAAAACAAAATCCATGTTATTCACAATTGATATACAAGAAAAGAAAACACATACATTTATACGAGGAACAACCGAACTCAGGAATGATTCTTTTTACACAAAGTAAGAAAACAGCAATACTGTTTTTTTAAAAAAAAATAAAAAAAAAATTCTGCACAGCTTATTTAACAAAAGAAAAAATCTGCACAGTTTTTTTTTTTAATTTTTAAAAACCTGCTAAAAATCTTACTTATTACAAAAATTTTCAGCACCTGTTTTCACACAAATAAAAAAAAAAAAAAAAATCGAAATGCCAATTTTCCAAAGAGTTATCCTTTCACAAATATTCACATACTAAAGGCAAGAAAAGAACAATCAAAACTCAATCAATATACATCACCTAGAGGTTCACTACACAAAGCCATATTTGATTGATCATTGGATTCAATTATTTGATTTGTGTTATTTACTTGACCTTTATTAGCAACAGTAGGACACTCCTTAATATAATGGCCTACTCCACCACAACCATAACACTAGGCAATGATTTATAATTCTTTTCTTTATATTTCTTTTTATTATTCGATGATTGATTATCTCTATTGTTGTTGTTTTGATTATTCTTATTGAAAACTCTACCTTTTACATGCAAAACTTCGCCACTTGAATTTCCAATTGATTTATTAGCTACTAAATCTAATTCCTTGCTTTTTAAACCATTTATTACTATTTCTAAAGTAATGTTATCTCTACCATATTTAATTGCAGATTTAACATCACTATAGGAATCGGGAATGACATTCAAAAGCACAATGGAGAATATTCATCGATATTTGATCTCCACTCAACTTTATATCTTGAATTAGTTTAGTAAAAACATCTATATTCTCATCAACACTCTTCTTAGTGTCTAGTTTGAATTGGAAAAATGTTTCAAGCAAAAACAACTTATTTGACAAAGTTACTTCCGTGTACAAAGCATCTAACTTCTCCAACAATTGTTTTGCACTAAAAACTTGCCTACTTTCCTAAGCACATTGTCAGTTAAATGCAACACAATACACGCACATGCACATTCATCTATTTCAACACGTTTTTCCATAGGTGTATCATCATCAAACATACCATCTATTGCTCGAGAAAGTTTTTGAGTAATTAAAACACTTTTAATTCTTTGTTTCCAAATAGTAAAATCTATTTTCCCGTCAAACGGCTGCATATTATAAAAATTATCCATAGGAGCAGTTATTTAAAAGAAAAATTTGTCCACAAATTGAAATCACTCAAAAAAACACAATCCAAGCAATTAATTATTAATCAATCACAAGATTTGCAACAACAGTAATCCAGAGCAACAAAGAAAGCAAGATTTCCAAGATTAACCAATCAATCTCTCTAAGATTCACCAAGATCCTAATCTAATCTGCAATCAGCAGATTCACCAAGAATTTTATTCAAAAAAAGAAGGGTTTAGCCTTTTACCAAAATCGATCTTTTACCGACGATCGATTTTACTGAAGATTGTGCCCAAACTTTATGTTTGACAGAGTTGGCTCTGATACCACTGTTGTGTTTTATATATATAATCTGTCAAACAACCAAGAAACATCAACTAGAATGTGTCCAACAAATTGAAATAAAAACAATATACTTTCTGAAAATCAATTTAAGAACACAATCAATCTATGCAAAAATCAGGATTCAAGATTAGACAAGGCAGAACATGAACTTCCCTCTTTCGACAGTCTTCCGGCGAACACACCCAGTCACGCGCCGCAGCTCCAGCAACTTCCTCTTCCGGCGATTTCCAAGCGACTCGACAAAGGATAGGGGAAACTATTCTTATGGCTCAGTCTACAACCTAATGACTCACATTTAGGGACTAACCCAACCGCCTCCAAACAAAACCCCAAACCAACGGACTCGATCGACCCTAAACTCTAATCGACCGATTTCCCCCAAAACCTCACAAAAACACCCAGATGAACAACTTACCGAAGGAATCGAACAAGAACAACAACGGGTCGGGTCGGGTCGGGTTGAAGGGTTTTGGATTGCTGGTTGGGCTTGGTATTGGGTTGGGCCAAAATATATCTAACATTCTCCACCTTTTTGGCCAAGTCATTTACCGATGGTTGCTCCCGTAGAGATGCATCACAGCCTAGAGACCCTTTTCGCCTAATCAAGTCGCATGGAAATTGCCCGAGAAGATTCACCGATACACAATGAACCGACACTCACAAAAAACGTTAAGTAAACCCTACACTCACAAGCAAACATTAGTCTTGCAGAAACTAATAGCTCATTCCAAAAAATGGACAACTTAACGCAAAAAAGAGACAACATGCGAACTCCACCTTAGAACTAATCAAAAAGTATAGACATGACATGACACCATAAAGAAAAGCATAGTGTACGCTTATACTAAAGGATCCTATCACATGCTTGAAACACATAGAAACACAAAGACAAGCATATATCACACCAATAAATTCGACGTCGATCACAAAGTAGCTAAGAATATAGGTTTGCTCACATTATCACAAAGAGAAACAAAATATATCACAAAGCCTAAACAAACACTATCACAAAGTTTAGCAAACTAACATGCAGTTAGACATACACTTAGATATTCCCGGGAAATTAACAACCTAGATTGTTCACTTAGTCTAGAACACACAACTCACAAAGCACAAAGGATAGGGGAAACTTCTTACGGCTCAGTCTACAGCCTAATGACTCACATTTAGGGACTAACCCAACCGCCTCCAAACAAGAGTCTTACTCAAGTAATATATTGCCCTTTCCTTTCCATCATCTTCATCTTGCGCTAATAAGCAACTGGCCACTTCATACGTATTTGCCAAATAAATTTTGAGTGGCTGACCTTCTTTAGGGGGCATCAACACAGGTGGTTAAGCCAATGATTACTTTATAGATTCTAAAGTTGTCTCTTGATCTGGTCCCCACTCAAAAGCACTTCCTCCTGCCTTCAATAATTTAGTGATTGGTCTGACCTTGCCAGCAGCATTGGAAATAAACCGCCTGAGATAACTTACCTTCCCTAAAAAACTTTGAATTTCCTTAACCGTCCTGGGCGGTCAGCTGGCCAGAATTGCCTTGGCTTTATTAGCATCAATCTCTATTCCCCTTTCATGAACCAAAATACCCAAGAAACTCCCGGCTGAGATACCGAAAGTACACTTAGTTGGGTTCATCTTCAACTTGTACTTCTTCATCCGATTGAAAGCATCTTTAAGATCCCGCAAATGTTCCTCAAAACTGGAAGATTTGACTATAACATCATCTATATAAACTTCCATGGATATTTCAATAAGATCA